GGAAGGCATCCCTGAGGTGGAGTGGGATGTCACTGAGGAGGAGGAAGATGTCCCTGAGGTAGAGTGGGATGTCACTGAGGAGGAGGAAGATGTCCCTGAGGTGGAGGAAGATGTCCTGGAGGTGGCGGGGGATGTCACTGAGGAGGAAGAAGATGACCCTGAGGCAGAGTGCGGAAGCTCTGAGATGGAGAAGAGTGGTCCTGAGTGGAAGAAAGGGTCCCTGAGGTGAAACGGGACGTCCCTGAGGTGGGCGGAGTATCCCTGACGTGGAGCGGGATGTCACTGAGGAGGAGGAAGGCGTCCCTGAGGAGGAGGAAGGCGTCCCTGAAGTGGGAGAAGGCGACCCTGAGGAGGAAAAACCTGTCCCTGAGGTGGAGGAAGCACAGCCGAAGCGAGGAAGGTCGCACTGCCTTCTCTCCGAGAGGCCATGTTGCCATCACTGACCCCACGATATCGTCGCAGGACACCAGTGAAGTTGCCCCAGGAGCCTCTGCCCACCTTGGTTTTGGTTCCTGAGGCCCAGCTCCCGGGACGCCACGCGCTTACCTTGCTTACCTCGCCCGACGCTCCTCAAGCCTCGGCGCCACTACGTGGCCCTCAGGCGCATGCGCAGTACGCCAACATGCCTGCGCCCTCTATGGCGGGGCAAGGGAGGGACCCGTTTGAAGGGTGGAGCCAGAGTCCTAACTGAGATTGGGACCTGGGAGGGACCTGAGGCAGAAGCCTGAGAGATGGGGCGGAGCCAGAGCCTTGCCTGGAAGAAGCCTGAGGGCGGGGCCTTAGGAGGGGTGGAGCCAGAACCTGCCTGGAAGGGGCCTGAGGGCGGGGCCATGGGAGAGGCGGAGCCTGGGTTGAAGGCGGGGCCACGGGAGGGGCAGAGCCAGAACCTGCCTGGAAGGGGCCTGAGGGCAGGGCCATGGAGGGGCGGAGGCCTGGGTTGAAGGCGGGGCCACGGGAGGGGTGGAGCCAGAACCTGCCTGGAAGGGGCCTGAGGGCGGGGCCATGGGAGAGGCGGAGCCTGGGTTGAGGGCGGGGCCACGGGAGGGGCAGAGCCAGAACCTGCCTGGAAGGGGCCTGAGGGCAGGGCCATGGAGGGGCGGAGCCTGGGATGAGGGCAAGGTCTTGGGAGGGACAGCCTCAGAACCTTGCTGAAGGTTTGTCCCTCACCCTTCTCACTGTCCAGTTTTCATTCTCTTTGTGGTCCTTGGGCCCAGATGAGGCATGTGGCACATCCCTCACCCTCTTCGCAATCCCTGAGCCTAGCTCAGGGTCATCGCCCTCTGCCCAAGATCATCTGTATGGCCTCTACCAGTTTGCTGGCCTCTGCCCATGACAGTCCACTGAGCCTTTATGGCCATTCTGCAGCAGAATCCCTCTCCCTCACTGGTGCCTAGGCCCAAGCACAGGCAGCTGTTCAGAGCCCCAGCCACAGGCCCATCCCTGGACCCAGGCCCTGGGCAGGCCTTGTTCAGTGCATCTCCCAGGCTCCAGGATGCAGGGAGCAGAGGACAGAGAACTGCCCACCCTCCCACTGTACCCTAGGGATGAAGACATGCCTGAGACAGGGTAGGCAGTGTATGTGCTGGCCACAATTTATTGTTAGAGAGTGAGAGTCAACCCTTCCTCCAGGTTGACCCCCAGATTCCTGAAGCATTGTCCCTGTCAGGGGATCTTACAACAGTCACTCCCTACTACCCCTCCCGAATGTACCCCACCTCCTCTAGAAGTTACAAAAGTGATACATGCTCATTGCAATGGCTCAAGGACAACAAAGGGCAAATAGGATCCCTGCCTCCCAAGGTCTCTGCACAGGGATACTCTTGAAGATTCATTTCGGGAGAAAGAAACTCTTTCCTCTTAAGTTGAGAACTGAGGCAGCTTGCGGCTATAGAGGTTTCTGTCAAAAGAAGGTCTGAAGAAGACTTGCAGAAATGGGAGATGGAAGGAGTCTTGTCTGCATGGTTCTCAGGTCTCAGGTCTGCCAAAGGTCCTCCAAGCAAGGCACCTGACCCCAGGTGCACATGTCCATGATTTCCTTTAGTTGCGTTGGTTTCACTTCAGCTACTGTGAATTGGGTTAATATTATTTGCAACCAAGAGGATCCTGGAAAATGTACACAGAGCCAGAAATGGCTCTCACTGAAGTCCTTGGGGATCCTCCACATCGCCTCTCCACACACCCTCTGAGGGTCAAGAAGGGGTGGAAGGCAACTGTTCTGGAAAAGGCTATTACCGCTGGACTCTGGCTGCCCACTCCGCAGGCTGCTCTGGAACAGGTACAAAGCCACAGGCTCCGCATCCCAGGACTTTCCACTGTCCCCCAGCAAGCCACTCTGAGGGCCTGAAAAAGGAAGAAGTGGCAGAGCTCGAAGCCATCCCACGCTGCCTGGCCACCACGGTGGCTTTTCCTGCTGTGGTAGCACCCCACAATGGCTAATGAAATTGACCTAGAAGGTTTCCACTGACATCGTTAGGTGAGAAGGACCAGTGCTGCACTTAAAAAGTGGTGTCATGACCCTTGTCATCAAAGTGTCCCACAGCCACAGGCACGCAGAACAAAGTGGTCTTCATGACACATCATCAAGGGTGCACACACGCACGGCCACAGGCACACAGAGACTCACCTAGGAGGCGGGCAGTGGGTGCGTGCCCAGTGCCTTCTACACTGATGGTCACCAGCATGAGACTCCAGCCTCTGCTGCACAGTCAACCACATCCTCCCTGTTTCACTTCAGACCTTCAGGAGGTGGTCAGCTAAGGCTTTCTATCGAGGGGCAAAGAGTACATATATCCTGCGATGTGGGCCATCTGGTCTCTGTCCCAGCAGCTGGATGCTGCCTTCCTGAGCAGGAAAGCAACTGCACACGATTTGCTGATGAGCGTGTGGCGGTGCACGGGACACCTGCCCATGTGGGCTGCACCCACCCAGTCCACCCTCAGATGTATTCACTGTGTCAGGTCCCGCCAGCCCAGATCCAAGCTGCTTTCTGCCCTGGAAGGCATCTACACAGAAATGCAAACACATATACCTCCCCCCCCCCCCCCGTGGTGCTGGAGATCAAACACAGGGCCTTGCACATGCTAGACCAGTGCTCTACCACTGAGCTACATCCCAGCTCACTTTTTTTTTAAAAAGGCATACTTAGTAAAAATTCAAACTGTGTCAATTTGAAAGAGTACAATATAAAAGTAGCAAAAACTTTGGTTTATGTACAAAATTGGAATAATTTTTTTTAAAAAGCAAAAGCTCTCAAAAGCTTTGTTTTCCTCACTTAAACACCGGGGACCATAACAGTTCCTGTTTCATAGGATGCAGGCTATGACAATTGAGATAAAGAGCTCAGCCCTGTGCTGGACAGAATGGGCCCCCCAAAGGCTGGCCTTTATGATCAACACTGTCAACCATCTGCTGACCGTTCTTTCCTGGCCACAGGGAGGTGTCCCATGGGTGGAGAACCAGCCAGCTCAAGATCCGAATAGTGCCCAGAGCTTCATGGGCCCCAGACACTCTCCTGAAGCCATTTATAAAACCCTATATTTGACTATAAGGAAAACACAAATTAAGTGTCACCCATTTTCTTACGTCCTCGGGACCATCCCATGTGAGACTTCTGACAACTGAGATGTTGATCAGTGCTGAGGAGAACCTCCCACAATGCTGGGGGTGTTGTTCATCTCCAAGGTCCACACGGTAGCCACGGACCACCGACACCGATGGGTGGTCAGTGCATTGAAGAAATTGCATTTAGAATTTATTCCATGTTGATTCCTCTACATGTAGGTGTGCACATTAGTGGTCACTGTGTGGGACAGCACAGGAACCTGCCAGAATGCCCTCTCACACTCAGTTACCCACAGGGCTTTTGCTTGAGCTGGGCAGGGTGTTCTTTATCTTTGGAAGGTGAGGAAGCCTGTCCGTCATGTTGTAGGATTATTTTTCTGTGTACTCGGCCTTTATCCACAGGTTCCAGTTGCCAGTAGCACGTCCTGGTAGGGACAATCAGAAATATCTCCTGATACTGCACAAATGTTGTGGGAAGAGGAACCGCCCATGGGGAACCACTGAAGTAAAGCCAGATGGAAACCAGGCAGTGTCCACTCGAACAGTCTCCCTGGTCGGACCTTGCTGGTGGCTCTGGGCTAGTCCTGGACAAGGGCTCTTCCTGGGCCAGGAGGCCTTACTTTCCCTTCCTAGCATGCATTTTCAGGTGGAGCGTCAAGGTGGCCAGGTGCCTGAAGGTCCTCCCACACTGTGCGCAGGGGTCCGGCCTGTCTGCGGCGTGGATTCTGCGGTGGTTATTCAGGGTGGTCCTATCAGTGAAGCCTTTCCCACACTCGGTGCACACGAACGGCTTCTGCCCCGCGTGCAGCCGCTGGTGCCGTATGATGCTCGACTTACACCGGAAGGCCTTTCCACAGCCCTGGCACCGGTGCAAGGAGTCCTCCCCGTGGCTTTTCTGGTGCTTGAGGAGGGCTGCCTTGCTGGGGAAGGCTTTCCCACACTCGGGACAGTCCTCGCGGGCTCCCGGCACGTGGATCTGCTTGTGCTCTGTCAGGTGAGCACGGTTCCGGAAGTGCTTTCCACACTCTTCACACTTGTGCGGCTTCTCCGCTTGGTGGAGCCGGCGGTGCTCCACGAGGTGTGAGTTGACTCTGAAGGTTTTCCCACACTCGCGGCAGCAGTAGGGCTTCTCTCCCGTGTGGATCCTCTTGTGCTCGGTCAGGGACGAGCTGCGGCCAAAGCACTTCTTACACTCCTCGCACTTGTAGGGCTTCTCCCCGGTGTGGATCCTGCGGTGGCGAGTGAGCTTCGTGCTCTGCTTGAAGGTCTTCCCACACTCATTGCACTTGAAGGGCGTCTCCCCGGTGTGGATCCTGAAGTGGCTGCTGAGGGTGGAGCTGCTGTTGAAGGCCTTGCCGCACTCCGTACACTTGTAGGGCCTCTCCCCCGTGTGGATGCGGCGGTGGGTGAAAAAGTACCAGCTGTGTCTGAAGGACTTCCCACACACGTCACACTTATGTGGTTTCTCTCCCGTGTGGATTCGCTCATGCTCCACCAGGTGGAGGGTCTGGTTGAAGGTTTTTCCACATTCCTTACATTTAAAGTGATTCTTACCCTTTCGGGGGCTCTGAGGCTTTTTCTTGGAGCCCGTGGCACTTTGTGTTTTCTTACCAGTGCCTTTTTCTGGGGTCTTCTTTCCTTGACGGGTTTTCTTTGGTGCTGAGGTTCCTGGTTTTTGACTCGAAGGTTCCTTTGGGGCCACGCGCTCATGTTCTTTCTCAGCAGGGGACACATTCCCTGGTGCTGAGGTTGATGGCTTTTGACTCGAAGGTTCCTTCGGGGCCCCAGGTTCAGGCTCTTTCTCAGCAGGGGACACGTTCTCTGGTGCTGAGGTTGATGGCTTTTGATTAGAGGGTTCCTTCGGGGCCACGGGCTCATGTTCTTTCTCAGCAGTGGACACGTTCTCTGGTGCTGAGGTTGATGGCTTTTGACTTGAAGGTTCCTTTGGGGCCCCGGGTTCAGGCTCTTTCTCAGCAGGGGACACATTCCCTGGTGCTGAGGTTGATGGCTTTTGATTAGAGGGTTCCTCCGGGGCCACAGGCTCATGCTCTTTCTCAGCAGGGGACACGTTCTCTGGTGCTGAGGTTGATGGCTTTTGACTCGAAGGTTCCTTTGGGGTCCCGGGTTCAGGCTCTTTCTCAGCAGGGGACACGCTCTCTGGTGCTGAGGTTGATGGCTTTTGATTAGAGGGTTCCTCCGGGGCCACAGGCTCATGCTCTTTCTCAGCAGGGGACACGCTCTCTGGTGCTGAGGTTGATGGCTTTTGAGTCGAAGGTTCCTTTGGGGTCCCGGGTTCAGGCTCTTTCTCAGCAGTGGACACGCTCTCTGGTGCTGAGTTTCCTGGTTTTTGAGTCGAAGGTTCCTTCGGGGCCACGGGCTCATGCTCTTTCTCAGCAGCAGAGACGTTCTTGCCTGCTCTTGTGTCTGGGCTGGGGCCGGCCTTCTGGTGACTTGGAGATGGCCTGTCCTCGCTTTCTGAGGCCCTTTCCAGGGCCCTTTTGGGAGCCCTTTCAGAGGCCTCTTCAGAGGCCCTTTTCAAAGCCCTTTTTGAGGCCCTCTCTGCCCTCGCGCTCTGGGCGATAGCCCTTTGGATGGCTCTCTCTATCTTCTCCTGTAGCAGAGTCTTCGAACTGTCTGGCTTCGGTCTTGTCTTTGACTTACGCCGCGTCTTCTTGCCTGAAAGAGATTCAGGATGCAAACATCCGTTTTACGTTGCTGTTTTGATTTTAAAGTGTTTTATTGGAGCATGTAACACATATACAGAGTTCATACACAGATAAAAAGTGCTCTGTTTGGTTAGTGCTCAAGAGTGAGCACACTCCCGTTCACAGGGCCAAGGTGAGGCTCACAGCAGCCCAGCTGCCCTCCCACCGCTCCCCTCTCCCCTAACCACACGTGTCTGCATGGCCTGTTCTCACATACCTTTAGCGTCTGTATTTCTGCACTCCATGTTTCCTTTGTGACATTCATCAGTACTGTCTCCTGTCAGTGTAAACCATGCACTCGCCCTGCTTATAGTATTTCATCGTGTGATATGCCGAAACACACTTGGGTAGACCCCACTTTGGGGTCATTCTGAACAGAGCTGTTGTGAACACTGCAGCACACCTCCTGGTGAACACAGATGCATGTCTGCTGGAGTCTACCCAGGAAGAGTGATCGGGGGCTGAGAAGGTTTGTGTGTGCTGCTTAATGGTCTTCCCCCTCCACAGCTCCGCCCACGTGGACTGCCACCAGCAGCCTAGGGCATCCTGCGCTCTGTGCTGTTATTGAGTGAATGCCTATGTCTGGCCAAAGTGCACATTTTGAGATCCCCATCTCTAAAATGAAGGTACCAGAACCTGAGCCCCTATGAGATAATTTAGGTCATTAGGATGGATCCCTTGTGAATGGGGTTTTTGCTCTGACAAGAGGCCAGAGACCTCTCTGGCTCCATCCACCATGTGAGGACCTCAAGAGGCTGGCAGCCTGCCCCCTGAGGGAGGCCCTCTCATGCTGGCACCCTCCACCTGGACATGCAGGCTTCAGAAGCAGGAGAAATGGACTGACCTTGCTTACAAGTTGCCCAGGCTTGCTTGGCTCTAACAGACAACAAAGCCCAACACCACATTCTTGTCAGCACTCATACTTCTCCTTTAAGTCATTGTGAGGGGATGTATCCCTGGAAGCTGGTTCAGAAAGTTCAAGACTTACTGGGTAGCTGATAAGTAACCAGAACTTGGAACTGGGGAAGCAGAAGCAGGAGTGTGAAAGAGGATCACTATTTAAGGAGCATCACTTATTGTTATTTGTGAGTCTTCACAAATAACAATAAGTGATGCTCCTTAAAGAGGGATTATATTAACATTATTATATTTTAAATAATTATATTTTAGAATCTAATTGTGCTACATAATATACCAAATAATTATGTTGTCTGTTATATACTACTTTTGGTTTTATCTGCTTCACATCTGGGACAATGGAACAAACGAGTTAGTGAAAAACATCTCCACACTCTGAGGTCAGACCATGGTGGGTAATAACAGTGCTGTTCAAACATGTGCTGGGCTTTTCTAAGTCCACAGAGGGTTGTGAACCGGTGACATTTGAAAAGATGAAGGTCATGTACAAACCAACCAACACTAAGAAAATGCCACCGACCTCTCTTCAAGGTTCTGGTTGAAGCCCTAAGGGAGACCCAACGGAGGACAGCACTCGCGAGCAGAGAGCCCGCCCAAGGCCAGTCGGGCCGGCCGCGGGGCCACCCAGTGCCCCCTGTCCCCCCTGTCCCCCAGCTCACCTGCCGAGGCAGCGCTGGCAGCGCCTCCCTTGGCCTCCTCTCGCGGGGGGCCTCCGGGGGCCGGTCTGTCCTCCAGGGTCGGATCGATGCCCTGCTCCAGCCTGGTGATCAATGTCGGCTTGAAGACATGACACCCCACTGCACACAAGAAAGAAGGTTCAGGCCGCCCAGAAGTCCTCGCCACGCCGGTGCTGGCACAGAAGGCCCAGGCGGGCAGAGGGTGCTCCCCAGCGGGCGCGCGCCCCCCCCCCCAGCCGCCCGCACCTCGGCGGGACCCCTCGAGCTCGGGCTCAGGAGCAGAGCCCAGGCCACGTCCGCCCACTCGGATTGGCTCCGCTGCGGTCACGTGACTCCAGCCAGCTCCAATCACAGAGAAGCCAACACTCGCCCTCCCCGCCGCCGCCAGCCCGTTAGAACCGAGCACCCGGCTGGCGCCACCACGAGCTGGGCCGGGAAAGGAGGAAGCCAGTGCCATGCCCCGGCCTTCTGTAAAGCTCAGAGCCCTTGAGAATCGAGATGGCGCGGGGAGGCCGTCCTTACCCAGGGAGGCCAAATTGCTGTAGTTCTCCAGCATCACATCCTTGTACAGGGCCTTCTGCGCAGGCTTCAGCAGCTTCCACTCGCTCTGGGTGAAGTACAGGGCTATATCCTTGAAGACCACTGGTTCCTGTAACACCAAAGCCCTGCGGCTCTTCACCCAGGGACTGGTCCCTCCCCTGGCCCCAGAGAGCATGTGCAAAGGTGTGCCAGATCCCGCATGGCCACAGGCGGTGAGCAGGCGCCTGTTCCTCACCCTACCCCCGCCATGGCACTTGCTTTGGCCAGTGGGACGTTGGTAAAGGGTGATATATGCAGAAATTTGAAAAAACACTTTGATAACTGGCAATACTCTTACTGCCCCTCTACTGCTACCAGGAGAAAGAACATGCCCAGGTCAGCCTGTTGGAGCTGGCAAGATGTGTAGAGCCACACTAAGTCCTCCAGGCCCTTGGAGAGCCAGCTTAGACCAGCGGACACCCAGAGTGCACAGACTGCTCCTAGGAAGGAGCCTCCTAAACAACCCTTTCTGGTAGGTGTTCCTGAATTTCTGTTGTTGGTTGTGCAGCGCTGCCATGTCAAGAGACAACTGCTACGGTATGTTCCCAGTGTTCCTGTGGGGTTGGGAGGTGAGTGCATGCTATGGAACATCAATGCCTGGAAGACTCCTGCCTGTCATCATTTGGCCATCTGGAAAACTCCCAGTTTCCCTATCTGTGATGTAGATACCAAGGATGGTTAGGAGCAGACTCGGGAGCTAGACTTCCTGGGTTTCACTCCTGGTTTGGCCACTTAATTAGCTGTGTGACCTTCGGCAAGTGATGCAATCTCTCTGTGCTTCCACAGGGATAACAACAGTACCTCTCCTCCTGGGTTACTGTGAGGATTGAGTGGATAAGCACGGGTATCATGGTCAGTGCTCGTTATTATTCTAAGTAGTGTTTAAATGTGGGTGATCCTAGGCAGTGGGAGATGGATGCAGACTTGGAGACCAGTTTACTCATGTATTCACCATTGCCAGGTGCTGGGGATAAGTTAATCTAACAGACTAGAGCTGTGATGGACACAACATGCCTATGATTTTGTTCTAAAAATAAAAGTTATAGGTGAATGCATGGCTGCCCAAAGACTACATTTCCCAGCATCCCATGCAGCTAGATAGGGTCTTGTGACTACATTCTAGCCAATGGGTGTAAGCAGAAGTGACAGATCCATCTTTGCCTTTAGAAGGACCAAAGCTGTCCTTCCTTTCCCATATCCCCACTTACTTGGGGCAGAATGTGAACTGACATGGGGTGAGCCCCCCTCGACCTCCTAGGGAGAGAAACAGGATCAAAGGAGCACGGGTGGTGAGCCCCATGTAGTGGTCACTGCCCCCCCCACACACCCTGGATGTTCACACAGGGACCATCCCTGAGTGGAGAGTAACTCATTCTACCCATGTAGCTCCTGAATTCAGAAGACGGCAGCCAAACCTGTGTCCTTCCTGGGCTCGCGGTTCAGGGCAGGGAGCAGAGAGATGGACAGAGCCCAGGGACACCTGGATGCAGTGTGGCTGGTGCTGGAGGAGCGGCGCATGCCCAGGAGCACAGAGGACACCTGTGCACGCATTTTGGGGAACTCTGAAAAGGCTTGAAAGAGAAGATGACAGCCGAGCTGAGTCTCCGGGGACAGAGGAGTCTGCGAGGCAGAGCAGAGCAGTGGGCCCTGAAGGAGGTGAAGGGTGGAGCAGGCAGAGAGCTCAAGACAGGAGGAGGCTGGAGAGGCAGGGAGGTCAGCCGCAGGGCAGCGAGCCACATCCTGCTGGGATCCCTGGACAGGCGGCTTCCTGTGCCTTGTTTCCACATCTGCAGGATGGGAAGAAGAGCTAACAGTACTGCCTCTAGGGGATTAGACAGTAAGGGAAGAGCCCCAACAACATTCGTCACTTGATAAGTTCCGTAAACTCACTAGCTGCCAGTTAACGCTGTCGCCTTAGCTGAGTTGCTGAAACTATCTGTTGTTGTAAAAATATCCCCACTTCTTTTCCTAGATAAAGCATCTGCCTCAGAGCCACCACTTGGTAAACGGTGGGCAGGTCTATTGATTTCTGTCTGTACTCTCCTCAGGGGTTATTGTGGTACTCTTTTACGTAATTGACATGCATGCTCACGAGTCCTCAGCTACTTTTGTTATTTCTCCACTTGCAAGAACAGAGGCAGGAACACTTCCACAACTCGCTACACTCATTGTGATCAGAAAAGGGGCTCAAAGAGGATCAATTTTCCCAAACTGGAAAATTTCCCATCGTTTACCTGCAAACACTTACATGATAGGCATATTCCAAGAACTGCACAATCCACTCTCTATCCTGTAATAACCCTGTGATGGGCTACTGTGACCAGCCCATTGACAGATGAGGGAGCTGAGAGGCACAGAGGAGTTCAGGAAATAACCCAAGACCACACAGTGGATAGTGGCCAAGGTGAGAGTCTAAGCTCATGGTTTCGCCGGGCTGGGCCCTAACTGGGGGGCATCAGTGAATGGGAGACTTGGGTCTCTACTCTGTGCCTCTTCCTCTGCAGAACCATCCTTCGCCAGCCCTGGGTTCCTCAGCCATGGCTCCATGGCCACTCAGGCCAGTTCATTCTGACTGAGCACTGTGGGTGCACCCCTGGCCTCCACCCATTAGCTGCCAGTAGCATGTCCCCTCGAGTGTGGCCATGGAAACAGGTCCACACATTGCCAAGAGGCCCTGGAGGGAAGGTGCTTCCAGGCGAGAGCCACAGCCTTCCCCCAGGCTTCCCTTTCTTGGTTTGTGGGACAGGCAAAGACACACACCCCCTTCCACTTCAGGGACATGCACATGGCCCAGGGTGGACCAATGAGGGTCCGGCACCCCCCGTTATTGCTTGGTTAAATGGTGGGCATGTGATTCACCATGGGCCAATCAGAATATTCCCTACCCCTAGGTTATGGCTTGATCTAATGGTGCCTCTTCACTGATGGCCTGTTAGTTGGAATGAGGAAAACTGGAAAGTATTCAGTGGAGAAAATAGAAAACTGTCTTGACCAGGATCAAAATGAGCAGCCACCAACGATGACAGACAGGCCACATGCAGACCCGGATGTGAGGCTCTAAGCAGGCACAGCATTACCTGTGCCTGCCTCTATTCTGGGCACAAATGCATAAGATCAGTCTAGTTCAAAGAAAAATGCACCCCCAGACCCAAATGCAGCAGTGACTGTAGTCTTCAAAAATATCAGTGTCATAAGAGGCCAAAAATGGCCAACAAGGTTTTCTAGACTCAAGGAGATTTCTTCATGTCCACTAATTGCAACACTGCCACAGACCGAGTCCTGCCGTGGAGAAGAGAGGATGCAAAGGTGGATGGCATTTAGCACATTTTCAAGTCAGGGATGTTGAGAGCAGTTTTGATTAAAAACATTGTACCGATGTTAAACGTGTGAAGGTTATAACAGTACTGGGGTTATGTAGGAGAAGACTCTTAGGAGAGACAGAAGTGTTTGGGGCAGGTGCTGTGTGCACTCTGTGCTCAGTGGTTCTGAAGGTAATGTACGTATCACGATAGAGAGTGCAGAGGACGAGGCCAATAGGAGAAACGTTAACAGATGGTGAAGCCCCGTGCGCTTACTAGTGTTGCGCTTTTCTTGTGAGTTTTAAATTATTTCCATAATATGCACATATATTTTCTCTGTGTTTGTGTGGGAGGAGTGTTGCTGGCACTAACAGGAAAGTCATTTCTGTCCTTTGGGATGCTTCTGAAGGTGGTGCTGGTGTGACAAGAGAGGCTGCCTCTCTGGATCTCCTTTCCAGCCTCTCATTCACCATAAGGGCCATCAGTGTAGCATTTCCACCTGTTTGGCAATCCTGGAGTCCCTTACAAGTCCCAGAACCAATTCTCCTTGGCCAAGACTGAGTCACATGCCTGGCCTTCAGCCAGTCACTGTGGTCCTGGGCATAGTACGCTCTGATTGGCTAGAGGAATGCCAGGAGAAGGGACAGGACCTGCCTCACACAAAGTGGGTGGCAGACAGGAGTCTGCAAGGAAAGATCAAGAGTGGAGGGGCTGGGGATGTGGCTCAAGCAGTAGCGCACTCGCCTGGCATGCGCGGGGCACTGGGGGCGCTGGGTTCCATCCTCAGCACCACATTAAAAAAATGGAGTTGTGTTGTGTCCACCGAAAACTAAAAATAAATATCAAAAAAATTTTTTTTAAAAAAAGAGTGTAGATGGGCTGGGGATGTGGCTCAAGTGGTAGTGCGCTCGTCTGTCACGCGTGTGGCCCGGGTTCGATCCTCAGCACCACATACAAACAGAGATGTTGTGTCCGCTGAAAACTAAAAAGTAAATATTAAAAAATTCTCTCTCTCTCTCTCCTCTCTCTCTCTCTTAAAAAAAAAAAAAAAGAGTGTAGAAAGGAGGGGGCAGCTGCCGGCCTCCACCCACTGATCCTCTTTCCCTGCCTGCATTCACACTGCTGCCCGTGCATTCGGTCCACTCTTCAGCCCGGCCGTTCCTAGGCCAGGGCTCTGTCAGTGAACAACAGATGAGATTCCTGTCCTCCCCAGGTGTAGTGGGGCAGCAGCGGATGGACACGTAACAGCACACTGTGGGTGGCAAGCTTCCTCTGGAGAACGGAAGCAGGATAAGGGGTAGAGAGCGATGGACTAAGTGACCCATTTGTTCTGCAGTGATGGGAATGTACCCAGGGTGTCACCCAAAATGGACTAGGGCTCCACCATGGAGCTGTGTCCCCCGCCTGATAGGTAGCATTTGACCAGAGACAGGAATTAGGAAACCCGAGGCAGGGAAGACAGGAAAACCACCCTCCTCTGGGTGCAGTGCCCACCAAGCTAGAGCAGGGTCTCAGCTGGGCAGAGAGGGCAAGAAACATAACTGCCCTCTCCAAATAGAGCTGGCCTCTGGCCACTGAGGAAGCCATCAGCTCACCTTGCTCCAGGCCGGTAGAGACGTGGCCAGCAGTCTTCCCTTCCTTTTGGAAAGCTTGGTTGGGGTAGGACTCGGACTCTTCGGAGGCAGGGCTGGAGGAGGAGGGGGAGAGTCATGAGGCCAGCCTGGCTTCTGAGGGCTGGAAAACTCACCCATAAAACCTCAGCAATGAGAGAAGTGACAGGAGCCCAGGCGGATGGACCAGGTTCTGTGCTTGGGTGCAGACCTTTCATAGCAACTCTAGCAAAAGAAACCAAAAACAAGGCCCCTGATGGCATGCATGCTAAACTGCCACCTGTATGGAAAAACTGTTCATAAATATGTGGTAACAGACACACATGTGTAGTTGTTTGTGTGTGCCCAGAGCTTCCTGCAGGAACTGGACGGTACTGCCTCTGGGGAGCACCTGGGGACTGAGGAAGCAGAGGCCAGGTTACTCTTGACGGCAAAGGCAACACATGTGCAATCTTTTCCCTCCTCATCACAACATTTGACTCTGCAAGGCAGACGGGAAGGAGGAAATGCCCAGGAAACCCCATGCATGCCCCTGACGGCACCACTAAGATCCTGCCGTCCACGTGGTCAGGTCTCCTCTGCCCTCTGTCAGTCCGTCTTAGAGTCTGGTGCAGTCCACAGCAGGTCACAGGCTGCAGTTCCTTCCCTCCTAAGCATTTTTAGTGGCGTGTCCTTAGGGAGAGCTCATGATCCATTCGCCTGAGTTTAGGTAAGATTTACATACAGGGAAGCGGACGCCTCTCAGGGGCATCATTCCAAGGAGCTGAGACACACAGAGACCTGTGCAACCAGAGGCCCGCTGAGATACAGACCTCTACACATGTGTTTACCCTTTCCCATTAAAACATTAGGTTGAAAATGTTAAAAGAAGATTTAGTTCCCAGATTAAATCATACACGTGGTTCTTACCACTGGGTTTGGCCTTGATCTTGGCCCCCAGGACCACAAAGCTAGAAAGACCCGCCCTCCCTGAGTTGGATGGGGGAGCAGTTCACCCTCCCCACCTCCAAGACTCTTCCCACCTCCCAGAATCTCCTCACCTCCTGGAATCCCACTTCCCTGTACCTCCTCACTCCCCTGAATTTCTCCATCTCCCATTCTAGAGAGGGGGCAGCAGGTGCAAAGGCTTGAGTCGGGTTATTTAAGGCAAAGAAAGGCTCCAGGGCCTGGATCCTGTGAGCCTGAGGGAGATGTGGGTGACGGAGTCAGAGGGTGACTGGGGAAAGGCACCAGGGCCTCCGGGTGGCATAATGGGTCCGTTTTGAAGATCTCCTGTGTTTTATGGCACCTCTGCCTGGGAGGGGCAGGTGGAGTGGCAGCCACGCAGGAGCATCCTTTCTGGCCCAGAGGAAGCAGTCTCGGGTTCCGTAGCACGGCAACATGCCACGTGACCCTCCTTTGGCCAAGCGACCAATGACGGGTCACCACCCTGGGGACCATCCCAGAGAGATGAAATGTCCACACGGCAGCCTAGAGCTGCGCACCCTCACCCCCAGCAGGGAGAACCTGAGCCCACTCGGGCAGCCCCGAAATGAAGCCCGCGGGGGTCCACTGGGGAGCGCTTCCTGGGAACAACGTGTGTGGACCCAGCTCCCGCCGAGGTCCAACAGACCCAACCAAACAGAACCGAGGCCCTCAGGCTGGATGTGCTGAAGTCAAGGCCAAACCAGCGCTTTCCCCACACCAGGACATTAGCAGCAGCTCACCAGAGGGCCCTACCCAACCAGATTGACAAGGAAATCTCTCTGCTTTCCCCGGAAGTAAAGCAGCTTTGAAAAGAACAAAAGGGCTTACTTTGTTCCCTTTCTGCTTCTTCACCTTTGCAGCCTGTAAAGTGATTTCCCACTGCTCCCTTCATCAGAGACCTGAGTCTTTACATGAGATGCTACCCAATTCTAATTGGCCAACAAGAGCCACTGAAATCTGTTGAAAAGAAATTGTTTTTTTTTTTTTTTCTGGTACTAGGGATTGACCCCAGGGGTGCCTTACCACTGAGTCACCTCCCTAGTCCTTTTCATTTTTTACTTTGGGACAGGTCTCATTAAGTTGCTGAGGCTGGCCTCCACCTTGATCCTCCTGTCTCTGCCTCCTGAATAGCTGAGATTACAGGAGTGTGCCACCATGTCAGACTTGCAGTTTTGTTTTGAACACTACCAGCCAGCAATAAAGAGGAGTGAAGTGTCTATGTGCAACAGAGCTAAGACAGGTCTCAAGCACACGGTGCAGAGCAAAAAAAAAAA